TTTTGCATTGCCCGCCGGCCCATTTTTTCAAATTTTCAATTTTTTTTTGTAAGTTACAATTGTGCCAATTGTTCTATTTTTGCCATTTAATTTTTTCCATAAATTAATCCAGTATCACCCGATAGAGCTTTAGGGCTTATTTTCCGGAATTGCCCGATAGAATTGATAAAAAAATTCGATCGCCGACCCAATTTTCTGATTCTATGTTATGCAAAGCGAAAAATTAACTATGCGTGGCCTTAAATATATTAATTACGTAGATTAAAAAAAAATCCGACAGACCGACTGTTGATTTTGAAATCCATGTAATGCAAACGAAAATTTAATTTTGCGTGGCCTTATATTTCAATTACGTAAGTATTTTCTTACGTATTTAACCAATTGAACAATGTCAATCAATATATGCATCAATTAATTTCTCGTTACATATTTTCTTCATATGATTTAAGGTTCTTTCAAGCACATAAATTATAGATTGGAATTCTTTTTTTAATTGATGGAAAGTAGTTTAACCGATAAGTAGGCTCATTATCGCGATAAAAAAAAGTTTGAGGCCATCTTTTTTTTGTCAGACTTCAGCAAAATTACAGTAGGAATCGCTTCAATTAATCGTAGTAATCACGATAGCTATCTAATTACATTGAGAGCACCCTTAGTCTAAGTTTAGTGATTATTCATTTATCTTATTGGTCTAAATATTTAATATGAGCTCTTATCTACATTAGTCTGTATAATTGTCATCTGCCAAGAACATTTCTAAATTATGCAGATTATTATGAACGAATCTGTATAGTATAGGGTGTGAAATACCCCTAATTTTAACATCTGTTCCGGCATTATGTATCATTAAGGCTAGCATTAGAAAATTGTAGTAGATTTTATGATTTGTTTTTTAAAAGGTACTTTACTCTCTATACTATATACATCTAAAAATCGTATGAAATTTTTTGTTTGTTTAAATTATAGAGTCTCATATCAATATAGTTATGCTGTATTAATTGTATATCCGATATTTATTTATCTGAATTCAAAACTATCATAACTTATACAACTATTCTGTATTCGAATTGTCCAACATTTTCTAAATTAAACATATTCGTCCATTCCTGGCTTAGCGCGACAATGTCGCGCGGCTACTTATTAGTTAGTCACTAATCGAGCACAGAATATAATATTGCGATACGTAATCGGTCATAGCTGTGAGCAATTTCCTAAATTTATCCATGTCACTTTTAACCAATTTTTTTTATTTCGTATGGGTGGACTTTTTTGATTTGAGTGATGCCGCGTAATTGCCGGGATTAAATACAAAAATAGAATAAAAAATTAATTGAATGATTGCATTAGATTTGCTAATTAATTAATGATTGTATTTGATTTACTAATTAATTTTGTTGTTATGAAATTCTTATGAAACCGTTTTATAAAAAACATAAATCATATAATTATTTTATTGATCCATTGCATCCTTGCTTACTAATATTTTGATATAATGACGCATTTTCGTTGTTTAAAGATAGAAAATTATATTTAAAATTATATTGCATCGCTTAATTTTTAATGATCATAATATTCTTATCAAATATTTTCGCCCATACTGATTAGTAATTTATATTATGGAACTCGTGAAAGAATCCGGAACTCGGGTAAAAGTCCGGAAATCGGGAAAACAATCCCAGATAATTATTTGTGGTACTATATAAAATCTAGAGTGTTCCGCTCAAAATTTATAAAAATTATTTGAAATTTTGAATATATTGTTCATTTCTATCAATAAAAATGCGATTTTCTTTTGATAAAATCCCTGATCTTTCTGGCAAGGTAATTTTAAACTAAGTTTTTTTTTATTAAAATCTAATATAAATTTACATATTTAATTTCTCGTAATTCAGATTGCAATAGTGACAGGTGGAAACACTGGTATAGAAATCATAACAGCAAGAGAATTAGCCCGTAAAAATGCTCACGTATTCGTTGCAAGTCGTAGTAGAGATAGAGGCGAATCAGCTGTAGAACTAATAAAAAAATAAACAAATAAAGATGCAATTGAATTTTTACAATTGGAGCTACAAAGTTTAAATTCTGTCAAACATGCTGCTGAAATATTTTTGGCTAGAAAATTACCATTGCATATTTTGTGAGTGTTTATAATAATATATGTATATATATATTGTATTAAGGGGCTGGCAAGTATTAGCTTATTATACCCCCTCTGAGACTTTAATTTGATACCCCAGGGTCAGGTATTCGACATATATAAATAATATATAAGAAAAATTCGAATTGTCACATATATTATTTATATATGCAAACATCTGACCCTGGGGGTATCAAATTAAAATCCCAGAAGGGTATAATGAGCTAATACTTTTCAGCCCCCTAAAAGTAGAATTTTTTTTGTTTATTTGTATTGATATACTAATTATCTTTATTTTCAGAGTTAATAATGCCGGTATTATGGCAACGTAAGTTATTTTTTTCGTAGTCAGTTCATATATATAATAAATTATCAATCTAATTTTTTTACATTCATATGAAAAAGTCCATTTGCGACAACTATAGATGGTATTCAAGATCAGTTTGGCACTAATCATATTGGCCATTTTGTAAGTATGAGAATCTTTTAATTAAAGCTTTTCTTTAAAAAAAGGTATTATCATAACATGATTTTTAAACTACGAAATAGGTCTTCACACTTTTACTGTTGCCAACTATCAAAGCTTCGGCTCCATCACGTATTGTAAGTGTTAGCGGGTTAGTTTAATTTCTTCTATATTAAGAAATTTAATTCCGTGTTATTTATCGTCTCGTTATGATTTTAGTCGTGCTCATGAAAGAGCACCACCAGCTGGAATAGAATTTGAAAAGTTGAATGATCCAGAGGCTCATACTCCTTTTCAAAGATACGGTCAATCAAAACTCGCAAATATTTTATTCACTCTTGAACTTAATAAAAGACTCTCAGGAACAAATATTTATTGTAATTGTCTCCATCCGGGTACAATGCTGATTTCTTGCAAACCACCTAGTACTCATACATAAATACGTTGTGAACGGCTCCCAGATGTCCATGAACCATATATTTTCCTTTTATTTTTTTATTTCTATTATTATTAGCATTACTATACAAATTAAATACGGAAAATTAGAGTAAGATAGTAAAACACAGCCGCTATGTACGCAGCAAAGGTCAAAAAGTTATTTAAGACCCATCTTTTTGCTCCAAAATAAAATCAACCATTTGAGTTCTAACTTCGAAAAGATATTAGTAGAAGTTGTTCTCAAATAAATATTTATTTAAACATATAATCAATCGACGTTTTTCGTATAATCTTGTCCCCGTGATCTAGATATAGTTATACTGTTAAAATTCATAAGAGAAAGAGAGTATCGATTAGAGATCAAAACTCTTTTAAATACAAAAATACAAATAAACTCTGATCGAATTTCGTCATTATTACATACTTTCATTAGTAATGTTATTGATTTACGTCATTTATAAATTTAAGGATAACATATGAGTCTTGTAATCAACAGACCACTTTTATAGTGAATATAATATATTGAAAAGAAAGGATTACTTACCGAAAAAATATTTTAAAAAAACTATTCAATGAACCTATATATATTCAATAAACTTTTTAATTTAAATTGACTCTATAGAACATACCTCTATAACGAACTCAAAGATTTCAAATTTCTTAATATTTTTGTATAAAAATGCTAATTAAACATGGCAATTTATGATAGGCTTTTTTTCCTCCAACCGTCATTTTTTTATAGTAAGAGATGGCTGTAATTTTTTTTTATGATAATGATATAACGTTAAATATTATATAATAAACTGAGAAAATTTTTTTTACAAATATAATAATAAGTATAGAAAGTTATTTAAAAGGCAAAACTAGGTTCTTTTTCGTTAAATTAAATGCTGCCAAAAAATAACATTAAGCAATTTATAATAATTTTGAAATATTTTACTGTAAATGAATATTGAACTTTTTTTTTTTTATGCACTAAAATGGTTTTGTAGATTAACATTAATAAAACGATCCAGATTCGATTAAAATAACAATGATGATTTATGTAGTGTAACTATTTTATAACTTGTTACAATATTTAATTGGAATATGATTTACGTGCTACAAAATCTCTTTAAACTAAAAAAATGGCAACAAGACATTTAGAAAAACTTTCGGCAGATTACCTTGAACTTCTTAATGATGAAGAGGATTATAATGTAATAATTAATGCTGGAGAAACACCAAATACGAAGATATTTAGAGCACATTCAAATGTTTTAAGATATAGATCTTTGTATTTTCGAGATAAATTAGTAAATACCAGCAAAGATGCAAATAACGTCAAAACTATTAATCTAAAAGATGTTTCTATTCAACAATTTGAATTTATTATTAAGTAAGTTACTGCATGCTTTAATAATAATCATAGTATATATAAGGAACTAATTTTACTATAATCCAAATTTAATAAAGATATATTTACGGAGGAGTGATTTTACTGGAAAATCATGACACATCATTTATTTATGATCTCATGCTCATTTCTCAGGAATTTCTTTTTGAAGAATTAACTAAATTTCTTGAGACTCACTTGATAGAAGAAAAAGCTAATTGGCTTCGATTACATTTTATACGTATTTATCAAAAAAGCTTCCAAAGTAATCAATTTCTAAATTTACAAAAATGGTGCAATGATTTTTTGGTAAAGTATCCAAATATGATTTTTTGACTCGGAAGATTTTACATCACTTCAAGAAAATGCATTAGTATCGCTTATAAAACGAGATGATTTACAAATGGAAGAAGTAAAAATTTGGAAATATATAATTAAATGGGGAATCGCGCAAAATCCAGGCTTATCATCAAATGGCCCAGAAAATTGGACTAATGAAAACTTTCTCACTTTAAAAAACACATTACAAAATTGTTTACCTCATATCCGTTATTTTCAAATATTTGGTGATGATATTATTGATAATGTTCAACCATA